AGACTCTAATGTCAACCTGAAAACTAGAGTGCCCCTATCGTCTGATGGATCCTCCAAACAGCCGCCAAAGATCTGATCATGCCACTCCCCAGATCAAAAATCTTTGCTGAATCTCTGTTGCCTCTCGGATAAAATTCAAACTCAGCCTGATAGTCAAAGCCCTCCACAATATGGCTCCAGGCTGCCTTTCCAGTCCCTCCCCCTCCCCCTCCCTCTGAGGCACAGTAACTTGCCTAGGGTCAAACAGCTAGTAAGTATCTGAGTCAAGATTGGAACCCAGGCGTTCTTGATTCCAAGTTCAGCACTCTATATTCCATGCTGTAGAAAATTAGCTCTCTAAGATTCCAAGTTGCAGAGCAGTGGTTGACCAAGCTTTGGTAGAGGGAATTTCCTATTCCAGTGAAATCACATGTCCAGACCTAAGGGAGGAAAAAAAAAGCTTGAAAACATAAGTTGGATCCAGATTTTGGAGGGCCATATCAGTCGGGCCAAGTTTGAATTTTATTCTAGAGGCAAGTTTTTTGATCTGAAGAGTGACGTTGTTGGATCTGCTCTTTTGGAATAGCCATCTGGAAGCTGTGTGGAAGATGCATTGGAGAGGAGAAAGAGTGAGGCCAGAGAGGTTAATTAGGAGGCTGTTCCAATGGTCCAAGTGAACAGTGATGGGGACCTGAGCTAAGGTGGCGACTGTGTGAGGAGAAGACAAGGGAATGGATACAAGAGGTACTGGTAAGGTAGAGTCAGCGACCAACTGGCTATGGACGATGGAGGAAGAGTCAGGGATGACCCCAAGGTTATAAACTTGGATGCCTTGTAGGAGAGTGGAACACTCCACAGGAAAAAAAAAAAAGATGATTGGGGAGGAGGGGCAGTTTGAAAGAGTTCTGTCCAGAGTCCTCTTGCACAAAGGCTCATTAACTTAGCCTGGCAACATGGCTGCTTTAAATTACCATTTGGTTTTAAAACAATTTTCTCGACCTTGCTGTTAACCTTCTTTGCTATATCCATCCTGCTTCTCTTTGAGAGCAACAGCTGCAGCTATTGAAGCCATGTTCTTGGCTGCTGCCATGGGTTGGAAGTTTCCTTTTTATCTCTGGCATCTGTGCCACTGATAGGTTAGGGGCTGGCATCCTCTAGGATAGGTCAGCTGACCTGGCTGCTTTCCTCCTTGCTCTCGCCTCTGTGATCCAGTCACCTTTTGTTCAACTCCAAAAGATGTGACTAAAATATAAGCTAGACTGCCTCGGAACCAGGACCTGGATCCAGAAGGATGGGTAGAGCGCATCCTTCACCCCAGTTGGGTACTCCAAGGCTGAAGTGAACAGGAATCCCAGAATGCCATGCTCTGGTGGGAGTTGGTATTTTCATTCCACAGGCTTATATAGATGTAGAGCTCAAAGGGACCTTAGAGGCCAATAGTCCAACCCCCCCCCATTTTACAGATGAGACAACTGAGACTAAGAGAAGTGAATTGCCTGTAGAAAAGCCCTGGAAGCACAGTGAATGATAAAGCACTGGGCCTTGAGTCAGGAAGACCCAGGTTCAAATCTGGCCTCAGACACTTGCTACCTGTTTGACCCCAGGCAAGTCACTTAACCTCTGTCTGCCTCACTTTCCTCACCTGTAAAATGGGGATAATAATAGCACCTACCTCTTAAGGTTGTTATTATGAAGATCCCAATGAGATAATATTTGTTAAGTCCTGGTACATAGCAGGCACTTAATAAATATGTTTCCTCCCTTCCCTGGGAATATTCAACTATCATGCCAAGCTATGGTCAGTGGCAAAGACAATAATCTAGAAATTCAGGCAGATAGCTACACTCAGAGTAGCCCAAGAGTCAGAAGTCCAGGAGGTCTGCTGAGATTTAAAGTACTAATAGCTATCATAGCTCTGAATAGCTAGTGGGTGGGGCATCAATATACAAAGACAAAAGCTCACACACTATTATGGGAGAAACTATGTATAGGTATAAAAACTTACCCCAAAAATATACAAGGTAATTTGTTGAGGGGTGGGGAGTCAGTAGTAACCGGAAGAGATGAGGAGGGAATACTTTGGAGATGGAGGGACAGCCACTGGAGAGGTATGGAGATGGGAGCTAGACTGTCATGTGTGAATGGGGCCGGATCACAGAGTATACAGAAAGGAGTAATGTAAAATAAGGAGGCAGCAAGTAGCTGGAAACTGGCTTTGAAGTCAGAGCTTATTGTTGGTCAGTAGTTTTTTCGGTCACATCCAACTCTTCGTGAGCCCATTTGGGGTTTTCTTGGCAAAGATCCTGGAGTGTTTTGCCATTTCCTTACCCAGATCATTTTACAGATGAGGAAACTGAGGCAAGAAGGATGAAGTGACTTGCCCACCCAGAGTCACACAGCTAGTAAGTGTCTGAGGCCAGATTTGAACTCAGGAAGATAAGTCATAATCTTTGAGCCACAGTTTCCACATCTGTAAAATGAGAACATTAGAGATGAGATGGCTTCTTGGCTCCCTTTCGGCTATAAATCTATGATTCTGCAGAGGGAGGTTGGAGCCAAATTACAAATGACTTTCCATGCTAAAGAGAGGAGTTTCTATTAGATCCTAGAGGGCCATCAGAGTTCACTGAGCAAGGGAGTAATATGGTCAGACCCGCACTTTAAGAAAAATGACTTTGTAAGCTATATGGAAGATGAATTGTAGAGAGAAGAGACTAGATATCAGGAGACCAATTGGGAGGCTATTGCAATCATCTAAGAAAGAAGTGAAGAGGGCTTGAACTAGACTGGCAGCTGTGTGTGTAGAGAAGGGGATATATTTGTGAGAGATGTTGCAGAGGAAGAATAAGCTTAGCACACTTACCAAGTGGGCCAGAGAGTGAGGCAGGGCTGAAGGGATTGGGCAGGCATCAAAGGGAAGAGTAGAGAGAATGACTGATCAGAGAGCATAAGACAGGAGCACCAATAAGCCTGGTTACCAAGGGAAAGTCTGATGGGCGAGGAAGGAACCCACTGTTCCTTGAGAGGTGTGCTGTGATAGCCAGAGGGAGAGATGGAGGCCTATACCACACTCTCCTTGACCGTGGCTGTATCAAGTGTTAGGATGTCCAGTCTGTTCTCACACAAATTTTACTCAAGAACCTCAGAAGGCCCCTGTAAGCAGGATGCCCTTCTCTTGCATAACCAAAGGATCCCCAGCATGTGCATTCTGCAGGGAATCGGGTAATTCCAACAAGGTATATAGTAGTCTTTCCCAGCCAGAAAACACATTAAAATATACTGGCTACTGTCTAGTTCCAGGCGCCATCCTGGCATGGTAAGCTGGATCATCTCATATCCTCTCTGCAAGAGATGGGGATGTAGGCTAGCAGAACAGTAAGGGAGTTAGAATACTATCATCCTACTTCTAGCATCTCCACATGTCTAGGGGCTTCCCTTGGGGGTATCTGGGAGGATCTACCTACAATTTATAAGTAGAAGTATGCTCATATGACCATCATTCCTATGTTCGGCTTTCAATAAGAGGAATGAAATCAACCTCATCATTCACATATGGGAAGAAGAGTTTCATTCTCCAAGTTACCTTTTCGTTGGGCTTCAGCAACATTCTCATTATGTGTTCCTCTCTTTTTAATGAAAAAAAAATTGCACTTTTTTGGAAACAGGTTCAGGGGCATTATCCTTTTTTTTACTCATAGATAACTCGAGCTTAATAAGTATCATCACTTCATATCACTCTGCCATCACTACATTAATTGCTTGATTTTTTCCCCTCATTTTCTATAGAGAAATTAAATTTGCAAATATTGCTCACAGTTTTCCAGTGTGGCCCTTGTAAATCCTTTGGGGAACCATGCCATGATTAGCTGTGGCTTCATTAAATGTTTCATTTCACAAAAAGAATACAAGTCCATTCTCTCTTTGATCATGTTGGCTCCAAGCCTCTACCACAAAGGAGAGAAAATGCATGATGTAAAACACAGTAATTCTCTGACTACATGTGAGGAGGAAAAACCCACAAGTGGCAATACTGCCAGGAGGTACATTTTTAAACAAAGCCTTCTTTTGGAAGCTCTGGTCTAAATCACTGCCTGTGAGACCGTGGGGGAAAAGTAAGGGAGAAAGCACTGTGGACATACAACCCAGCTTAGAATAACGGGATCTTAGAGGTAGAACAGGAAGGGACCTCTGAGGCCATCTTGTCTAACTGCTTGACTTTACAGAGGAGGAAAATGAGGCCCAGGGAAGTTTTAGGGCCCTAGATCTGGAGCCAGAAGGGGGCCATGTAGTCCAACCCTCTCATTTTAGAGGGGGAAACAACTGGTCCAAGATCACCCCTAGGCTCATAGATCTCGATCCAGAAAGGACCTTGGAGGTGTTCAAGTTTGGTCCCCTTATTTTTACAAATGAAGAAACCAAAGGCCTGGGAGAGGAAGCAACTTATCAAGCATCACACAGTAAGTATCAGCAGTGGGATTTGAACCTCATTATTCCAGAATGATTCTAGTGCTCTCTTCAGTCATGCTATGTTACCTCACTGTGATTTACCACTAAGCTATCAGCTGTTACTATTCAGCCCCCATAGCTGTGGTTCAAGATTTGACACTTTTCTCCTCCTGGGGTGGGGTTTGTTGTGTGCTCTAGAGCACTACTTCTTAAACTGTGGGTCACTACCCACAGTGCTGAAGGGGTCTCGAAGTGGAAAACATTTAATAAGCCCTACTCTAGAAGATGGTAAAGTGATGAGCCCCTACCAGGTGTGGATCCTTGACTTTGATCTTTTTTGTTCTTTCCTGTTCACAGAGGCCCATTTCAGGGCTTCCCATTTATGGCCTTAAATGGGATGCTTTGGAATGGGCTGAGCTCTTCTTGAGATGTGTGACGTGCTCTTTGGTTATTCCCATTATGTATAATGACCACAAAGAATCACGTTGATTCTGATCCCCGGTTATTTCATTGTTGGTCCTTTCACAAACATCTAGCTGTGAATACCTCTAAGTCTATCGTTTCTTCTTTTTAAGACAACAAGGAGTATGACGCCTACCTCTCTTATACAAAAGTCGATCCTGATGCTTTAGATTGTGATAACAACGAGGAAGAACAATTTGCTCTCGAAATACTACCAGATGTCCTGGAAAAACATTATGGCTATAAACTCTTCATCCCAGATAGAGACCTGATTCCCAGTGGAAGTAAGTACTTTTGAGTTTCCAACTCCAACCATTCCATTTTTCTGCAGAAATCCTATATGTTGTATAATAGAGCTGATTAATTACAAATCTTTTCTTTGGTAAGACCATTCAAAACAGGCAAATGTCCTTTTTTCATTTTTTTTTAAACATCCAGGAGAACTAGCTAGAGAAATTGCAGCAGGCAGAAGCCACCAGAACCCCAGAGAGACATGGCTGTGTTGTAGATGGAATACTGGACTTGCAGTCAGGAAGACCTGGGTTCAAATCCCTCCACTGACACTTGCTAGTTCTGTGACCACAAGCAAAATACTTTAACTGAGCCTCAGTTTCTTCATCTGAAAAATGAGGATGGTAGATTTGATAACCTCTGGTATCAGTTCTACCTCTAAATGTATGATCTTATGTTTGTGACCCTGGGCAAGTCCCTTCCCCCTCCCTGGACCTCAGTTTCCTCTGTAAATTAAGAGAGTTGAACTAGATAGCCTCTGAGGTCCTTCCAAGCTTTAGCTGATCTAATTGGATGTTGGATAAGTCATTTAACCTCCCTGTGCCTCAGTTTCCTCATGTGAAAAAAATGAATACATGGGACTAGATGATCTCTGAAGTCCCTTCCAGTTCTAGATCTTTCATCCTATCTCTCTTGGCAAGCAACTTACCTCCTCTATGCCTCAGTTTCTTCATCTGGAACACGAGGGGATTGATATAAATAAATAACTACTAATGTCCCAACACTAGATCTATGATCCTAGAAGATTCTATCTTAGTGGCAAAGGCAAGACGTAGGCCATAGACTCTTTGAGTCTTTGCTCTATATGTCATTTAGACAGTTTTCAGCAGGGGTTTTATAAGACCCACTTTCCTCCTCAACTCCCATGTCTTGACCTTCCCGACATGCTAAGTGCTTCTTGGATTCATTTTGGGAGTATGGTTGGCAAATGCTAACTGAACCTTCACCAGGCTATTTATTAATTTGCTCTTCTGTTCTGGGAAAAGAATGCTGGTTTTCCAAAATGGAGATCAGCTTATCATCCTAATGAGAGAAACCTTTTCCAGTATGTTAAAGCCTCTTCTGATCGGTTTTCTTGCAAGTCTTAGGCGGTGTCCTTGCCCTTATGTTTATGTACGTACCTCCACTTGCCATTGAGCACTTAGAATGGATAGCTTCAGGCTCTCTGTTCTCAAAGACTTCATTCTGGATTTTTGGAATTAGACATGGAGTAAGGCAAATAAAGCTTTTGGGGAGAGAAGGGGGTTGGGTACAGTCTTTCCAAAGTGGATTGGTGAAAGGTGCTAAACCAGATACTGCCTTCAAAAATCATAAGAAAAACTGGAATATATTGGGAATAAATTTCCAGTACACATCCTATTCTTGTTCATTATAATAAACATTCACTGAAGCAATGTGGTACAGTGGAAAGAGTACTGGCTCTGGAATCAAAAGACCTGGGTTCATATCCTTAGTGCCTGAGCCTCGGTTTCCTCCTCTGTAAAATGATAGTGTTGGACTTGGTGACCTCTGAGGTCCCTTCCAGCTCTAGATCTAAAATCTTGTCTTTGACACTGGGCAAGTCTCTTTACCTCCCTGTACCTCAGTTTCCCCCTCTGCAAAATGAGAGGGTTGGACTAGATGATCTCTCAGGTCCCTTTAATTTCCAAATCTGTGATTTTTTTTATAATTTTCATGAAAAAAGAGCCATATTATAAGTTCCAGATCTGACCTAGTACCAAAATGGCTTAAGTCTTCCCTCTGTAGCCCAGTTCAGAACTATGGGAGGGAGCAAGATACAGGCACCGAGATCCCTGCCTCAGAGTCCTAGTCCAGGGGGATCTTGATCCCATCTCCTCCATACTGTCCAAGACTGAAGGATAAGGTAGGGCCAAGAAGTTATTATCAACCAGTCTTGCTGGCTGCCCAACTCCAGGCCAAGGCCTGAGAGTGCAGTGAGGAAGTGTGTAGCTCTAACCCAAAGTCCAGTCCTAAGGGTACCAGGGTGTTCACAGTAAGTCCAGCTACTATAGAACCAAGAGAAGTTTGAAAGAAGCATCAAGGAGAGACATCACCAGGCATACCAAGCAGAATGAAAGCTCCTAAATACCATAAAGAAATGATTGCTTAAGATAACCTAGAAGTAAAATTCCAGGAAAAAACAATGCCACAATAATTATAAGTAAAACCTCAGGAGGGAATAGATTTACATGAGGACTTCAAGGATAAATGGAAGTCCTACTAAAATAAATGAAGGACTCTATAAAGAGAATATAGTTGTGTTATCCACTTATCCTTATCCACATTATGGCCACCTTGAAAATAGGGCAGAGCGAACAGAACTCAGAAATCTAATGATATAACAAGCAATATTAGAACAAAGTCAAAAGACCAAAAGAGTAGAGTATGTGACGTATCTACTAACAAAAACAAATGAGCTGGAAAACAAGACAAGGAAATAGCAATGAAGCATCACTGGGGTCCCTGAAAATCATTACAAAACAAAATAACCTAGCTATCTTATTTCAAGAAATAATAACATCACTTGGGACTACTGGACCCAGAAGGCAAAGTGAAAATCAACAAAATCCACAAGAAGGAAACCTCAAATTTAACACACCCAGAAATGTGAATGCTAAACTCCAGAGTTACCAGGTCAAAGGAAAAAAAAAACACTGCAAGGAGCCAGAAACAAAGAGATCATATTCCAAGAAGCCATAGTCAGAATCACTCAATATTATATATTAGATATGAGAAAGAAAAGTTTTAATGTGACATACGAAAAAAGATGTACAGTAAAGGATAAAATCCTCAAACACTGAACATAATCGTAGAAGAGGAAAAAGTAGATCTTTAATACAATTGATGACTTCCAAGAATTCCTATAGAGAAAATGAGAAGTGGATAGAATCTTTTAAATACAAATACAGGAGATGAGAGAAACTGAAAAAAATAATCAAGTTTGAGTATCCTGAGAGGACAAAGTATTGATCAAGTGCTTACATCTAAAAAAGGAGAGCAAACACTACTGTCCCTTCAAAATTTAACTATCAAAAGTCACATTCGGGGCCTGGAAGTGTTTAAATTTTTTAAGAGGGAAAAGAAAAGGTTTCTTTTCTATGAAAGGAATTATGATGAAGGAAAAGCTAATAAGTTTCTTCTAACTGTGGCATAACAGGAGATTATACAAGCATGAAGACAGGTGGAGGAAGTAGGCATCTCATGCACCCCAGTGTCATCTAGGAGGGGCAAGGGATATTTGGTAAGAAAAATATAGTGTAAAAATATATTAAGCAGGGAGAAGGAAAAAGGAGGTTCAAAAGAGAGGTTGTTTATGAAGAGAGAATTAAAAGGAGAGAGAGAAAGGGCAATATCTAGGCTGAATGAAGAGCGGTAGGGAGAGAAGGTTGAGATCAGAGAGACCCAATGATAAATTACTAGTTCTAATTTTATTCCCTTTTGTTCCTCACCTTTTTCATTATAAAGAACGGAGGTTGGAGACAAAATAGAAATGTAAAAATATATGGTGGAGAAAAAAAATACAAATAAGATAATCAAAACTTAATGTGAATGGGATAAATCTGATCATAAAAATGAAGGAAAGTGAAAGGATAGATGAGACAGCAAAACCCAACAAACAATATATTTCCAAGAAACACATTTCACACAAAGATTTACATGGAATCAAATGAGAGGTTGTACTAAAGTCTTTTAAACCTCAAGCTGAATCTAAAAAGTAAGGGTAGATGAAAGTGGCAGTCATGATCTCTGATAAGGCAAGAGTAAAATATAAACAATCAAAAAGCCAAGATGGTTAAGAGATAAGCAAGGAATGCACATTATAAATAAATGCATCATAAATAATGGAACAATATCAATAATAAACACATATGCACCAAATAGTATAGTATCTAAGAACTTAAAGGAAAAGCTAATGAAAATAAACTATAGAGCAATAATTCATGAATTTTACATGCCCCTTTTGAGACCTAGATAAATCTAACAAAGTTTTCTAAAAAGTTAAAGACCTGAAATTTTTTTTAAAAAAAATTAGGTATGATAGATATCTTATGATTCCTAAGAAGGAATCATAAAAAGTATAAATATTTTTAAGCTTGGCATGGCGTCTTTACAAAAACTAGTCATGTGCATTAAAAAAGGCATAAATACCCAAAAGTAGTGATATTAAACTTCTACTTTACAAGCCTGAATGCTACGAAATTTGTAATCTATATAGGAAACTTAAAGACAGGATTAGATGTAGAGATGAAATAATCCTAAAGAATGAGTCTAAGTCAAAGAACAAATCATAGAAATAAAAAACATTGAATCAAAGAAACAATAACAATGTGATGATATACCAGTCAAACCTTTTGGGATACAGTTAAATCAGGGGGGGAGGGGATATATATCTCTAAATACCTTCATCTAAACACCTTTAACCAAATAGAGAAAGAAGTAAAAGATTAACGAATTGAGACTGCAACTATAAAAAAATACCTAGAAAGTCACCACATTTAAAACTCACAAAGAAACAAAAAGAAAAAAAGAAAAAATTAAGAAAATCAGAAAAGAAATAAGTAAAATAGAGAACCAAAAACAAAAGTTGGTAAAACTAAGAGCTAGGGTTTTTCTTTGAAAATACTAATAAAAAGGGACAAACCGTTAGCTAATATAAACAAAAAGAGAAAAACCAAATTCCCGAAAACAAAAATGAAGAGAAATTCATAACAGATGAAGAGTAAATTGTTATAAATTATACCCAAATGCATTCCAGCAAAAGTAAAATCTTTAAAAAATGGATATTTACAAAAATAAAATAACAAAACAAAAACTAGTCAATTTAAACAACCCAATCACAGAAACAGAAATTGAACAAGCCATAAATTAACTCCCAAAATGTAAAAAAAAAAAATCCATCCAAATGAACCTATAAGTAAATTCTATCAAACATTCAAGCATAATTAAATTATTAATATGCAAATTTTTTGAAATGGAATGCATTTTACCAAAT